CTCTTATCCTCTGTTATTTGAACTAAGGTAATGTCTAGGTAACCATATCAATACCTGAAGTAATTCTCCGTATGTTTCTGAACACTGAACAATAATTACGATTCTGTTGCTGCACCTGTAAAACAGTCATTCCTACCATAAATTTATCCACTAGAGACCCTTACAGATGTTTCTAACATTCCACGCATGCTCAGGAGAGGCAAGATTGGTCGTGTTTCTAGTCGTAAAAATGGTCTCACTGGCTGCGTATACCAATATAACTTATTACTATTGGCTCCTTATCATTAAAGTAAAAAAAAAAGATACTTCATATAACAAGTTTTTACAACAAGTAGTTTTTTATTAATTCAGTTAAACTTGAAAATGGGCACTGATAACTTTAATCTCGAAATCAAAGTTACAAAATCATCTGGTAATATGTGAACTTATCTCTATATTTAGGGTTCTAGCTTTATTTATGTAAACTTGACTCTCATTCATAAATGTGTAATTATTACTATTATTTTTATAGAGATGGTTCTATATAAATTTGCCTCTTAAACCTTAGAAATATAATACTATTGAAACCAGATTGTTTGTACAAATTTGTTTCTTTATAAACCTGACTTTTATTCATACAAAATGAGTATAGTTCAAACTTGTACCTTCTTCTAATATATTTGTTTCTTCTGTATCAGTTTAACTGTAAGTAGACTTGCCTCTCATCCTTACTATATATTTAACATTCATTCTTGTAGGTCTCTTTCTATGCATACTTGATTCTCATCGATTTGGATTTATGTAAAAACCTGGTATAATTGTAATAAATTTGTTCTAAATAATTTTGGCTTTTATTCTTATGAACTTACGTTCTTATAAAGGTATGATTCTGTTTAACCTTACTCTTACACATTTGCTTTTGTATAAACTAGATATTTATTACGATATATTTGTTCTTATGTAAACTTGATTCGTATTTTAATACATTTGGTTATATGCAAAAATAATTTTTATTAGTATAACACATATTGGTTCTATTTAAACTACTCGACTATCAATCTTAGTTTCTATCCATATTTACTTGCATTTTTTTTCTCAAATTATTTTTTACGTAATCTATTACATATTTTTACAGTTTTGATTCTTTGAAAGCTTTGCTCTAGTTCTGTGAAATTCTGCTTTATATAGACTTGTGTCATAGATTTGCAGATTTGGTTTTATATGGACTTGTCTTATTGACTTGCATATTTGTTTTTAATATAAAGACTTGTTTCATAGACTTACAGATTTAGTTTTTACATAGACTTGTAGATTTGGTTTTATATATATTTGTCTCATTGATTTATAGATTTTATTTTATATAAATTTTGACTATATTGTTATACAGGTTTAGTTCTATGTAAGCTTAGCCGTCATTATAAGTTTGGCTGCATGTTTACTTGAAATTTATTCTTACGGATCTTTTTCTTTTAATTTTTAGTTTTATAAACTTTATTACATTTCGTGTAGGCTAGGTTTTACGTAAACGTGATTTTTATTTTTAGATATTTGGTTCTATGTAAACTAAGTTAGTCTTACAGGTTTGGCTGTATGTAAACTAAGTTAGTCTTACAGGTTTGGCTCTATGTAAACTAAGTTAGTCTTAAAGATTTGATTCTATGTAAATCAAATTAGCCTTACAGGTTTAGCTCTATGTAAACTAGACTTTTCTTAATTTCTTGTTTCTATTTATACTTTACTTTCTAAAATAAATATAACATAACCACTATTTCCAGAATAATATTTCTATTATAGCTCGATACAGATATGGTCTTTCGAAAACTTGACTTCCATTTTTAAAGTTCTGTTGCTAAGTGAACTAGGCTCTCGATCTCAAAGATCTTTATTTATGGAAACTTGGCTCTTACATTTTAGAGCTATTTTTAATAGGATCAAGTGAGCTTTCTTGATCTTCTTTCGATGTTTTTACGTAACATTTAAGATTCAATGAGTTATTTAAATTGGACAACATCTTTCTATCATTTATAATATAGAGTTTTTGTCTTTCTTTCTTTGGTTGTTTAATACTTTAGTCAAGACAAATTTCCAGGATAACTTATTAACTGGGAAGGTGCTAATGGTAATTCATTCATTGGAAAACACCTTTTCCTGACAATAACTTTCGTTAGTCATCACACATTCATAAAACTCGAGAGGAACCATTATATTCCGAAATCACGTTGTTATCTTATACTGAGTATAAATTGTGTTTTTGAGTAGAGTGCCCCAGGTCTCGTAAGGCTCTTGGAACGTCTATCTCCATTACCAACTGTGCTAAACTCTGATAGCTATGATTGTGCATTGTTTTTCGACACCGGAAGTTCTATATTAAAAAAACTTTTGCAAAGGACAGCAAGATCAGTCTTAGACTAGTCACCTGGAAAGGCTTTCCACAGACTATTACAATGTATGTGGAATTGAATTGGAGGAGCTTTACAAGCCTATGATAAAATGGGATTGACTTGAGAAAGAGACCAATTGGAGGAGCTTTACAAGCCTGTGATAAAATGGGATTGCTATGACTTGAGAAAGAGACCAATTGGAGGAGCTTTACAAGCCTGTGATAAAATGGGATTGCTATGACTTGAGAAAGAGACCAATTGGAGGAGCTTTACAAGTCTGTGATAAAATGGGATTGACTTGAGAAAGAGACCAATTGGAGGAGCTTTACAAGCCTGTGATAATATGGGATTGCTATGACTTGAGAAAGAGACCAAAGAGACTTGGTCTCTTTCTCACGAACACAACCGTTGATTTCGAGATGTGGCTGTAATCTAATTAACTTCAGATCTTTGTTAGATATCTTGTTAATGATACCAGGAAATATGTCCAGTTTTCAAGCAGTGACTTTTTGGATAATGTTTATTTTTTTTAGTCATAGACTTTGCTTTGTGGATGAGGGGAGTGCAGCTTTAAGCCATTGATGGTCACTGGACGAAGTATAAACTAGGGTCCACCCCTGCTTATTCTTTCTTTTAAAAAAAACAACATATAATTTGATAAACTAAATTCATTAGTGATCATAAATAAAGAAATAAAAAAGCTGGTTTATTATTTTTTATACAATTTATATTTTAATTATTATTATACTCGAAACGCGCGGTAAGCCCTAGGCAACTGCCCCTTTTGCCCATTGGATAAAAGGGTTCTGGATAAGAAGTTGCATAGTTGGAAATTCATCATTGGTCAACCATATAATGCTAACCATGTCATCTTTGGCTCTATGGCTTGCACCTACGGCAACAATCAACTTGCATTAGAACAGCATAAACAAATCGTTTTTATAAAGTGCGATTAGCCCTCTGTATATAGAGGCTTCCCAGTGATACGTGAAATGCGTGCCTTCTTTAGGTACGAAATATCGTTTCGGTAGGCTAGTAATCTTAACACATTAATTTATTTTCCTTGTAAAAAACAACAACAAAAAGTTTGAATACAAAAGTTTTCGACAGTAACTCCCATTTAAGAAATCACAAAATAAAACAATTTATAACTAGATTTCCAGTTTTGAATATACAACTGTGTTCTAATTCCGCATTTTTAATTCTGAACAAAAAAATAAATAAAATGCTAAACTGATGTCATTTTTTACAGTTATGGATGTCTATTGTCCTTTAAAAATGTTAATTTATGTTTAGGTCGAGTTGTATTTATAGCTTCCTGACTTGGTGCGTCACATTTTTTTTTAGAATCTTCATTAACTCGATAACTGATTTTCATTATATGTTATATGATAACGGGTAAACAGGTTTTGTATTTAGGAAATTATTAACAACATTACCCACATTGTTGCAATATGTTATCATTTACGCCGTCGACAACAATTTCGTCCACTTTGTTAATGATAATGTTTTGGACGAAGTTGAATAGCGTATCTCGGACAATACTGACCAAAATGCAGTCAGCATTGTTTGTTATAATATCTTCTTTGAAATTGTTGATTACTATATTGTCCACATTGTTAAATGCAATATTGTTGACATTTTTTGAAACTTCAATAGCTCAAATGTTATTAAAAAATGCACTAAATATTTATAAATACAAGGTGGAAACTAGAATGTCTTTGTAAACATTCAAAAAAACGTTTTCTTTTCCATTTATTCTTTAAACTGCAGATCCTTTCTTTATTACCATACATTAATGCAAAACGTTTAAGACTGAATAAATAGGCAAGTTTTAATTTTTTAAGTTACTAAATTTATAATAAATATGTTTCAAATATTTCTCAAAAAAACAATCGATTAACTTCTGTATTCAGAAAGAAGTAGAATAAGGTAAGTTTTACTCGTCGAAATGACATTGCACTTAATTACCATTATATCTTTTTGTATATAAAAGATGGGAAAACGTAAATTTAACAAGCATTTTTGTTGTCCAGTTTCGTAATAAGAATTAATTTTGGTAAGTCAGTGAAAGATCACAAACACATAAAAAGCTTTTATGATCTTGCAGTTATTTTGTATTTAAGAGATCGAGCCTTCCCTTTGTAAAAATTATTTTAAGAGCCGCTCTATATCGATTTGCCCCCAGTGGCACAGCGGTATGTCTTAAAACACTAGAAACCTGGTTTCAATATCCGTGGTGGGCAGAGCACAGATAGCCCATTGTGTAGCTTTCTGCTTAACTTCAAACAAACAAACTATACCGATTGACGGTTTCATAACTAACTCACCCTTTTGAAGCCAGCTGTCATGTAGTCTCTTTAACAAATGTTGATAAATATTTGACACGTTAGCTTCATCATACCAAAATGAGGTTAATAAGAATTGTTTGGTGTGAATATCTAGTTGAGACAGTTGTTTTGAATTCTCGTTAAGTTTTTCTTTCATTATTGAAGAACACATCAATAGTTTGAGATTTCGCGTTTAAGAATAACATCCAAGGAAACGAAAAAGAATAGGTATATTATATTTACTAAATTGTTTCTATTTTCGATGTTATTTATATAATTATTAATCTACTTCTAATATTACCTGTTTCAGACATATCAAGGAGAAGACTTCCCATTCTTTCATTTTGATCATAGTACATCTATCACTTCTGCGACGCAACAGCCACTACGTCTTCCTGGCTATTCACATTCTTTTGAAAAGAATCTTTCAGAACTAGGAACAGACGCAGAGGCAAAAGTTACAGTTAGTTCGTCTCTTCATTCTTTGGGATCTTTAGTAGGCTATCTTGGAAGTAATTTGCCATCTGGAAGGTTTGCTGAAAACAACAGCCTCGATTCGTCCATTAACGACCTTTCCTTTGAGGCTGAGCAACTCGAAAGAGCTATTAGGCAAAATGACACTTCTTTTGTTCGACGGATGTTGGAGCTTCATCACGCCAGGTTTCCAGTTAATCTTCATGGGAGCATCTTAGACAAAAGTAGCTGCGGCTCTCAAAGCCACTGTGTTAGTCAAGATGTAGACATCCTACTTCGTAAAAGCCAGACGTTACTTGACCGTTTTGACCGTCGAGAGAGCTTATCCACAGACCAAGAGTCACCTCTTGTGTTTAGTAATGCTCTTCATCTGGCCATTGAACACAATTCCTTAGACGTAGCACGCCTTTTGCTCAAGTATGGTGTGGATCCTAATGAAAAAGGTGTGCTTCCCACGGATGCTGATTTGCGAGGATCTCATTGTGTGGTGTCTTCTGATGATGAAAGCATGGATGAACAACGTAAGTGTGGCACAGTTATTGATAGCGGAGTAGCACAGTTTCTTCTCAGTTCTAACCCGAGTCTGCACAGTGACCTGGCAAAAGAACAACCTTTTCTGATCTCTACCCACCCAACTACTAAGCTCTTTGTTACAAGAACCAACTTGTTATCTCATGAAAGAACGGTGTTTGTGTCTAGTGATGGTAAGGATGTATTCTACGAAGAAGTGTACACGCGAGAGACACTGTATAATCTACCACCCCTTTTTCTTGCTGTGGTATTAGGTTACGCAAATCTGGTTTACTTATTGTTAAAGTTCGGAGCGACAGTAAACGTGCAGGATGAATACGGAGTTACCCCACTTCATCTAGCCGTCAGCAGGAACCGAGTGTCTTGGCAGTGCATTCACGTATTATTAGAAGGTGGTGCTAAAATTACGACAGGAAACTCCCAAGGTATCAGTCCTTGTGATCTCAGTGAGGTAGATTTGGTACATTTACAAAGATCATTAATAGAAGGTGCCCTATCATGTCTGACAGCACATCCTACGCAAAAGGGAAGCGGCAATTCTTTTAGTGAAGAATCGGTAGAAAGTGAAAATTCTGTACGCACTAGTTTTTTGAGAAGGTTTCAACCAACAGATAATAAAAACTGCTTCCGTCAAGGGCCGAAGAAAAAGGATCACCTGTCTGTTGATGACCCGAGTCGTGTATCACCAGAAAGACATTCTTGCTCTTCCTGCCAGGAATCTGTGCACAGTCGCCATAGCAATCGTAGTGGCCACAGTGTAACTCTATCTCGTGGTGATGATGACAAGGTAATGCGATGTTATTTTCATGATTCGCTTATAATCAGAATTTTTTTAACGAATATTGTAATGTTCGTTCTTCTGAAATTAAAGAAAGCAAATATTATACCTGAAACACTGGTCGATAGTAGCAATAGTAGGAGTTAAAAAAGTAATGGTTAATAGTGGTAGTAGCTGTAGCAGCGATGGCTGATTGAAGTAGCAGCTGTAGCAGCGACGGTTGATAGTGTTAATACCTGTAAAAATAACTGTTGCTAGTGGGAGCAATAACAGTAATGGTTAAGGTATGCATTGTTGGAACAATAATAGTAATGGTTAAAGCATGTATTGTTGGAACAATAACAGTAATGGTTAAAGTATGTATTGTTGGAACAATAACAGTAATGGTTAAAGTATGTATTGTTGGAACAATAACAGTAATGGTTAAAGTATGTATTGTTGGAACAATAACAGTGATGGTTAAAGTATGTATTGTTGGAACAATAACAGTGATAGCTAAAGTATGTATTGTTGGAACAATAACAGTGATAGCTAAAGTATGTATTGTTGGAACAATAACAGTGATAGCTAAAGTATGTATTGTTGGAACAATAACAGTGATGGTTGAAGTATGTATTGTTGGAACAATAACAGTGATGGTTAAAGTATGTATTGTTGGAACAATAACAGTAATGGTTAAAGTATGTATTGTTGGAACAATAATAGTGATGGTTAAAGTATGTATTGTTGGAACAATAACAGTGATAGCTAAAGTATATGTATTGTTGGAACAATAACAGTGATGGTTGAAGTATGTATTGTTGGAACAATAACAGTGATGGCTAAAGTATGCATTGTTGGAACAATAACAGTAATGGTTAAAGTATGTATTGTTGGAACAATAACAGTAATAGTTAAAGTATGTATTGTTGGAACAATAACAGTAATGGTTGAAGTATGTATTGTTAGAGCAATTTCAAGTACGATATTAGTCGTTACAATCAGATAAGAACCATTATAGTTCCTTTAGCTTAACGACGTAGTTTTGTTAAGTTATTCTTAAACATAAACACGGGAATAAAACGTTACTGAGCAAACACATAGTTATGTATGACTTAAGAATAACACAATCATTTTATTTTGCGTGATCTTAAGCTGAAGCTTGTTTGTTTGTTTCAATTTATGCACAAAGCTACACAATGGGCTATCTGTGCTCTGCCCACCACGGGTATCGAAACCCGGTTTCTAGCGTTGTAAGTCTGCAGACATACCGCTGTGTCACTGGGGGCTAAGCTGAAGCTCAAATTTTGGCGATGTAAAGTTAACTCGATAAAGACTGTATTAGACTGACGTTTAGAAATTAAATGCCGTATGTTTGATTGTATTGTAATTGAACTTTCACATCTATATATAACTAGGTAAACGTTGATTACACTGGTAAATCTAATAAATTTGTTTGTTTGTTCTCCAACTCCTCTTTAAATTTCAGAACTAACAGGAACAAATTTTGGTAGGCGAACGCGGAGTATCCTTATCCATATAACATGATCCCCTACGAAGGGGCTCCAAGGGGTATAAAACGCGCCCAGAAGGTCATGCAGGCATGATGAGGGTCTAGGAGTAAGTTCTCATTGTCGCTGAACCTGAATCTGTCATCCTAATATATATTCCTTGCCATGTTTGAAATAGTGTTCGTACTCTCTACTCTTGACTCGCAATTTGCGGGTCGCGGGTTCGAATCCCCTTTCAGCCGTGGGGGCGTTATATTATGACGGTCAATCCCACTCTTCGTTGGTAAAAGAGTAGCCCAAGAGTTGGCGGTGGGTGGTGATTACTAGCTCCCTTCCTTCTAGTCTTACACTGCTAAATTAGGGACGGCTAGCGCAGATAGCTCTCGTGTAGCTTTGCGCGAAATTAAAAACAAACAAACAGACTCTACTCTTACTGACAAGCTAGCGGGACCAAACGTGACACACGCACTTGGTTACCATGGGTAGGTGTTCTAACGGGGTTGGTTTTTGGGTAGGAATCCCCTTGTGGTAACTATAGAAGTAATTGGAGATAACGGAGAAGCTCGATCGGTACGTTGGAGTCTCTGTGAATAATGAGGAGGGGTGCCTTTGGACCCTGAAGCGGAGTACGGGTATTTCCTAATAGCACTGATAATAATCCTCACGCTCAAACATTTTACAAAAATTACATAAATGTTTTGCTTTAAATAATAAATCATTGTTTGAATAAAAAAGCAACTCTTGAGAGTCTACAAACACGTCTAAATAATGACACAAGTTCGGGTTTGAAGCAGATCCACAAAGTAATCACAGAAACACATGTGGGAGAATATCAATTGCTTACTAAGATGTTTTTATCATTCCCACAGGATTCATGCCCATCTTCTATGAGCAACAAATAACCCAAACTGACGTTGTTTGGTCTATCGAGAATGGGTTATTTGTCAGCTCTGGAGTGTAATCTGTCTGATATTTTGAAGGATTTAAGCTATGAGGCTGGGACGTGCAGATATATATATATATATATCAAAGATAAAAGTTTATGATGTCAGAGTTTTCCTTACATCTGCTTTGTTGGTAAATGTGATGAATTAACTTAAGAAACTATATACCAACTAACAGATGGAAGAAACTAAGCAGGTGTTATCATGTTACTTGATTAAAAGAACGCATGGGTAAGTGTGTAAGGAACACAGAATTCTTTCCTTTTGTTGGCATTATACCTTATTTATATACATGGAATCTGAAAGAAGTTTTAGAGCTAGGCAAGGCGTAGAAATGTATATAAAGAAGTTTTAGAGCTAGGCAAGGCGTAGAAATGTATATAAAGAAGTTTTAGAGCTAGGCAAGGCGTAGAAATGTATATAAAGAAGTTTTAGAGCTAGGCAAGGCGTAGAAATGTATATAGCAGCATGAAACAAACAAATTACGACAAGTTTACCTTCAACCATTATTAAATAAAGGTTCTTAGAATATCATACTTTAAGTAAGGATTTTTTGTGTGTGTATAGTTAGATTTTAGTAGTTGGGGATGTTAAATAACACTCTTTTCATATTATACAAGATAACCAGGAAAAAGGTTTGAGAATTTGATCAATATAAATGTCTTGGATGGACATATTTTTGGGTAATCTTAAAACTTCATATTGTTCATTTGAATATTCTCCTCCAAATAAAAAACAAACACACAGACTGTACAATTTTTTGAGAGTATGAACGACTGAATGTAATGAATTTAAAATCCTATACATATACGTACATGTTTCACGTTTTAGTAACAAAACGACATTTCTAAACTCCTAGAATGATGTCGAGTATAATCCGTGTTTAAATTTGATTTTTTAGTAATATAAATTTTTGTACTACTCGTTTCATATTCATTATTGTCGACCTGCCACAAATGATTAATTATTATAAAGTTTGAAATTCTTCAAATAAGCAACAAGTTTACTAAAGTCGCACCAAATGATCTAAACAGAAAACATACTACAGGAAACGTACTACATCCATAACTCAGCCATATTTTGACAAAATTTCTACAAAGCGTTTCATGATCTAAATTCTAAAGAGATAACACAGGCCTGCGAATTTAAACTTCATAAAAGTTGTTTC